GTCAAGTAGCGGCACACGCATTTGGATTTGCAATGTGCCACTTTAGTTTTACACTGCGCCACTTGTGGTTTGTCCTTTTGGCGTTCCATAGGAGGCAATGTTGGTAACTCATTAGTGTGTTGAAAATTGAATTGCATATAGCATTATGTGAATATATTATTTTTAAACGTTTCTTAAACTATAGTTCAGAGAATTAAATATACATTTTTATCTTCAAGTGCTAAAGTGATTTTAAAGTAGACTTATAAGGCTTTATTAATTTATTTTATTGAATTCCAATTCTGTGGATTTACAACTCAATGTGTCAACCCACTTTACCTAGTATTATTATCTCTCTGTAAGAACATATACAGTATTGAGTGATATATGATTTACCTTGGCTCTTTGTTGATATACTTTATCATACCCCCATGACTGTATTAAGCAGCCTAAATGCATGAATGTTACGATTAGATCACATTATTATTGTATTTGTTTTATTTCATTTTTTATATATCTTATATACGTGCAAAGTATTGAATTCTCATTGTATCATTATTAATAGAGCTATCTGGACATTGAATAAAATAAATAAAAATGAAATACCACAATTTTGGGTGAATTCTGTAATTAATTTTGTTATTAGGTGCATAAGCAGAGCATAAAACACTTTAACATGCCTAAATTATTTTGAGAAATCGTAGGAACCATTGTCTTTTGGAATATTGGCTAATAATTTTGGCAATATTCTCCAGTCCAATTTCCAATCAATTCTGATTAGTTTGAATTGAATTTATTCATTAATCATGTACGTAAAACAACAGGACAAGATTAGGCAAAAATGCAACAAACGACCCTGATTAATTAATAGGATAAGCCTTAAAAAGTGGGTCCCATGAAAACGATTTAAATTTGCACAAAGAACAAAAAACACACACAACGTCTAAAAAGAAATAAAATACAATGAAAATTGGTCTAAACATGTTTTTAAAATTGTGGAGAGGGGTATACCGTCTTACCAAACAATTTGATGCCAGATGTTTACGGGCGCTATTCGTTATCAAAGTCATTCAGCTAACAGTAACTGTGTATTACCCATCTTTTTCATATTTTGTTTTCCCACTCTGGGCATGTATCTACTCTGATTGGCTGAAAATGAAGAGCATCCATGCGTCACGGTGCAAAGCCTGGCTGCCAAACATGCGGTAACAAGGACAATCTTCGCGCTGCTGTTGTAGCAGTGAAGAAAATTAGGACAGCGTCGTAGTCTTTGCGGATGAGATTTGAAGTATTAACAAGAATTAAAAAACATTCAAAATCGTATATTTTCTGCTTGTTTTCACCGTTTTCGTACCAAATACAAATTCACCTGATTAATTACGGTCGGTCGTAAATTTAAAACAAATGAAATATTTATGCATTGTACTATAAGTGCCATAAAATGAGAGTAGTACTTAATTTATCGACAAGCCCAAAGTTTTCCGCTTAAACGAGAATTTACTTAATTTCTCGATAGTACCTGAATTCTCGTGACACCGGACGGCTCGCTGGCTAAGTCTATGATGTTATGCATTAAGCGGAGTCGAAAATGGTGTTTTGATATGACATTAGGACGCCTTCGAGAGTATGTGAAGAAGAGTATGAATATGAAGACAACAATATTATCAACTATATTAAAAAAATAATACTGTATAACCATATGCAAGTAGGCCTATAGAAACAAGTTCAGAGTTCCAAATATGAAGTTCCAGATTGGTACAAGTGTCTCACATAACCATCCATCCATTGGTTAACAGCCAATTTTGAACACATTTTACCTCTTTTCTGTAACAATTGGTAATTTAAAGCCTATTTTTAAATAGGCCTAATACCTATCTTTCTTGTAATGCATTGCACTTTATGAATTTCTGTTGTTCTATCCATATACGGTTTTTTTTTTATTCAATTTTCTTTGTATTTATAAATGAAAATTAATCATTCTACTTTGCATACTGTACACATATATTATGTATTTAAATGCAATGACAACAAAATAAATGAAAGCGTAATTATTATTTTCAGAGCACCAGTTATTTTTTGTCAAGATGAAGTCAATAATTTTCTTATTTTTCCTCTTGGTTGGATTTACGGTCATATATTTGTGTTCATTGTGGTAAGACAACTTATACTGATTTAAATTTAATAATGACTTAATAACAATTATACTGCTTATAATATAGTATCTAACAATGTTATATATTATTTCTACTTATGTACATTTTATTATATTCATTGAATATTCATTGTATTCGTGTATATATATATATATATATATATAAAAAGATAATGTATTATATATATATAAATATATATATATATATATATATATATATATATATATATGAAAAAAAAAAGACG